GAGTAGGGCCGTGACATGATCTGAGTTAGAGTTTTCAGAGGTCACTGGGGCTTCTGGGTGCAGAATGCACGGGGAGGAGGGTCAGGGGTCGGAGCCGAGAGATTGAGCAGGATGCCGTTGCCCCAGCCCAGGCAGCACGTGAGGCGGCTCGGTGCAGAGTGGGCGGGCAGACGTGGCGAGGTATTTTGGCAGTGACAACGCCGGAGGAATCAAGGCTGATGTAGGGCTGTGGCTTGAGCAACTGGTGAGTGAGAGAGCCCTTGGCGTAGGGTGGGGGTGGGGACAGAGGAGCTCGGTGTCACATGTGAGGTGGAGATGCCGTCCTAGTGGAGTCGCTGCTGGGTGCGTGGGCCTGGAGCCCGGGCTGCAGTGTGTATGTGCAGCCCGCAGCGCTGAGATGAGGTTGGCGCTGTGTGACTGGGTGCCTTCACCTGGAGAGTGTGTTCCACATTCGTTATTTGGCTGAATGCCAAATGGCTGAGAATTAAAATTTATATTTGGCTGAGGTGAAAATCCTGTCTTAGAATGAGCTCCCGTGGTACCGGAATAAATGTGAAATGTTAATCAAGGTTGTTTCATAATTATTGCAATCTTATAAAAAAGTTAGTGGTCAGAGTTTCGACGTTTTACGTTGCAGTGTCAGTTCAGTCATTCTCAGCACTGTCAGACGCTAGCTGCTCTCGAGGTCTTCAAACCAGACACATGATGATGGACACTCACCTACAGCCAAGGAGGCTAGAGGAGCACGTCGATCTTTGGCTGATGCTGTCTGAGAGGATGCTGCTGATGGTGAAGCGTCTCCTGGGTTGTCGAGTCTTCTCCCTCTCTAAGGGTGATTATGATAGAGACTTACCTCCTCTCGACACTTGTGCTGGAAGACACTTGTACTAGCTGTTGGTGACCATGTTCCTCTATTGAAGCAGTCCCTCAAATTGGTGATTAGCTGAAGCAGATACTTTCTGATATTTTCAGAAGCAAACATGAGTGTTGTATTCACTTACATTTTTTATTTCTGATTCTTTTGCATGCACCTGCGGCTTCTCCCACCCGATCACTTGCAATAACGTGTCCCCGAGCCTCATATAGAGCAGTGTGGCTGTGGACCTGGCCCTCAGGGTCATAGTACAGGCTCTAAATTTGCATCTGCATCTTAGCCATGGTTGCCTGTCAACAATGCCAGCGCTTTCCTTGGAGTAGAATGACAGGGGCACTTTTAGAGCAAGTATCCGTCCCTCTCAAGGCACATCCTTTTGGTTCCCTCTTCAGTTGGCCCCAGCAAATGCAGTCCTTACCCTGACGTTGCTGTGACTGTTAGTGAGTCCTGCTACATCGGTTTTGTTACCTGTAAAGTACAACAGGAGGCTTACTTTGGCTCAGGCAGCCTTTTTATCATGGAGTAGCTGCTGTTCTGTCTCATTTGAATATCTCACATAAGTACTTGAGAAAGCAGTTCTAACATCTCTTGTAGGTCAAGTGGTTTGACATGACATTTTGAAATAAGAAAAATGGAAGAGAATATGCAGATATTCACAACATCAACATGTCTTGCCTGGTTGTGTGAATGATGTTGTTAAACTGACAAGAGGTAAGAGTAATCTATGTAATCACATGGTCCTTGAGCCCAGAGATGCCAAGAATGACATTGATGTAGGCATTCAGCTCTTTGGCTTTCCAAAGGCATCTGTGCATCGCTAGCAGAGAAGAGGTCTGAGCACTGGGCCCTGGGCTGTCAGCCGTGAGTCGTCAGGAAGAGGAAGTGCCAGCGAAGGAGTCTGACCGCGTCAGCCATGAGGGAGGGGACCAGAGGAGTGCTGCATTTGGGAGGGACAGAGGAGAAGGTGTTTCACGGAGGTGGGAGTGAGTGGGATGAAGGCAGAGAACAGACCTCTGGGTTTGGCCACGTGGAGGTTGCCCAGGGTGAGTCGCCTGCAGGACCCCAGGTGAGTCCCTCTTCTTGAGAGGAGATTCCGGAAGCAGCTGCCAGGTTCTCTGCTGCGTGCCGGGTTTCTGTGGGTGTAGCTCTCCGGCGTTTGCAGCGTTGCTCTCAAGGTAGATCGTGTGTGGCCAGAGTGAGGGTGCCCATGCTAGGGGCTGCGGGAACTCCCGGGCTGGCTATTGCCTTGCTGCAGCTCACGGACACATCCTCTCCTTGCAAAGGTCAGGCCCTTCCTCATACGTGTTCACAGCCCTGTATTTGGCCATCACCCACGGTCACCTGCCACACGTGAGAATCTGCCCCACCTTTCTCTGTCTCTTTCTGTGCTGGGAAGATAGAGGTCCTGCCCGTGACAAAGCCCTGAGCGGCTCCTGCGACCCCATCAGTGAGCACAGTGATGCTGGTGATGCTGGCAACCAAGTACCTTATTCTCGGTCATACCCGAGAGTCACCAAAGACCCAGCCCGAGGCAGCACGTGGGCACGGCCAGTCTCCTTGGTCTCTGTTATGGGCTAAATTGTGTCCCCCTAAAATGCATACGTTGAAGTCCTAATCTCCGTGCCTTGGAATGTGACCATGTTGTTGAACCCCAAATTCAGGCTCGTGTACCCAATGCACGGCTGAAGCCAAGCACTGTGACATCGGTGCTTGGAGACAGAGATAGGATTATTCGATCTGGTCAAAGTGAGAAGACAGGAGAGCAGAGTCTCTCAGATCTGTCTTAACAAGAGATGAAGCAGGGAGCTTTTATGTGTCTCAGGAGGGAGGGAGGGGAGCTTCAGGGAGCCAGGGGTGAAAGGCTGTATTGTTTTTAATCTCAGATAACACCTCGAGGAACCAGGCTTCTGGGCGTCAGCAGCCGGTTGCAGCTTTCCTAAGGGCATTTGTTCCTTCTGCAGAACACACTCGCAGATTGTCCTCGTGACCCCGAGTTACCTCCTCCTGCTTGACAAAGAAGCGGCATCAGCAGTTAAGAACTGCTGGGAGAACAAGCTGCTGGGCAGGAAGCGAGCGGTTAACACGCACAAGCTAACCAGGGCCTGGTGATTTTACGTTATTTGTCACTGAGAAAATTCTGGGGTACTAAAATCTCAAGGGGCCTGGCAACAACCGTATTTGGGGACAGGGCCTCTAAAAAGGTCATTAGGTTAAAATGAGGTCTTGGGGGGGCCCTAATCCAATAGGACTGGGGTCCTCGTAAGAAGAGGAGATTAGGACAACATACACACACGCACACACGGAGGGACAGCCACGTGAGGACACAGGGAGAAGACGGCACCTACAAGCCCAGGAGAGAGGTCTCAGGAGGAACCAGCCCTGCCGACACCTTGATCTTGGACTCTTGGTCTCCGGGACTGTGGGGACATGAGTTTCTGGTACCGCCCAGTCTGTGATGGTTTGTTACGGCAACCCCAGCAAACTGCACAGTTTCCTTCCCTTCTCCGTCGACTCTTCCTCCCCCACCCCACGTGACGTGGCTGGGTTCGGTCTGCAGGGCTGTCTGGCGGCGGGGCCAGTAGGGGCGTGCCGGGTCCCCCGTCTCTCCTGGGGGCCACCTGGCTCTCTACGACCCTGTCTCCTTCCTTCCTTCTCCAAGGGCGCCTGCTCCGCCCTGTCCTCGGTTGTCGCACACCTGTGGGGCCTGCTTGCTGTGTGTGCGCAGGGTGTTCACACAGACAGACAGACAGCCGTGCGTCATTCCGCTAGGCGCTGTGAGATGCAGATGGAGGGGGTCAGAATGTGTAAATGGGAACCGTTTCCATTTGCTTGCAGGACGTGTCTTGTCGGGTCGCTTTGTGCTTCCTCTCGCACTCCCCACGTCTCGATCTGACGTCATCAAGTGCGTCTGTGCCGTGTCCGGCACCCAGGACAATGCCTGGCACATAGTAGGTGCTCAGTAACTGTTTTGTGAGTGAGCAAAGTGAACAAATGAATGAAAAAATGACTGAAGATGTTTCCCAAGCCCAGGAGGCTTTGGTGTCTAATTATATAATCCCCGCGGGGCTACCTAAGCTGTTTTCCTTCTCACTGGGGGAGGGGGCCGTGGGGGAGGCAGTGTCGGAGCTCCGGGGCCTCCAGCTAAAACGCTGCGGACAGGGCTGTGTATTGGGGTCACGTGCCAAATGGAACTGCTATTTGTGGCCAGCCGGACTTGATTGCTTTAATGGTCTCCCTCCGTGCTGTGCCGAAGGCTCGGTGCCGAGCGCTTTGTAATCACCTCCCGGTGAGTGCTCTCCCATGCCCGTGAGGAGTGTGCGACGTGGCTTCCGTCTTGCAGGGATCTGTCGGGAGTCTTAGAATGAAAGGGTGGGAGGGAGCCCTGGGGGTCCTTGTGCCGTGCTGCCCCCCCGCAGGCGTGGGGTCGTGGCAGGCGTGGGGTCGTGGCAGGCGTGGGGTCGTGGCAGGCATGGGGTCGTGGCCTGGGGGCTGCGCCTGCCGACACCCGCCTCTGGCAGAGGGAGGCCGAGGGAGCGCAGGCCGCTGGGTCTCAGTCCTGGTAATTGAATCTTGAGCAGATGTGACAGCTCCCGCCTGGGCTCCTCGAGATTGCTTCCTGCTCCCTCTTGGTGATGAATAGTCACAAGTTCTGTGACTGTCTGATCAAACTTCTTATTGCGCTGTCAGAACGTTAGAGAAGCAAGACGGGGAGCCTCGGGTGCATGGGGAGGTGCAGGGCAACCTTCGAGACCTTTTCTTATTATCTCCGGCAAAGTCGTCCCCCTTCTGGGACTCGCCGGGACAGGTTCCACCTCCCGGCCGCACTCCCTCCCTCCCAGGTGGGTCCTTGCCTCCCAGCTGCTTCTCCAATTATTTTTCCCGTTTTACGTGCATAGAATGTTCCCCAGTGTGACACCCAGTTCTGTCCTTCATTCTTCTCCCTTCTCATTCTGGGATACTTTTCTAAGGATTATGAACATCCTTGGCTCAACCTCAAGAAAGGGCCCTCTTGTCATGTGTGGCTCTGCTCCACCTTGGGGACCTCATTCCAGCCAGGGTGGGGGGCTCCAGGTCCCTCTGGCACGTTCCGACCCTCTGCCTCTTGCTCTTGTCCTTCTCGTTGCAGAAAAGCTGGCAGGCTGCAAGCTGAACGTGGCCGAGGTAACGCAATCCGAAATCGGGCAGAAACAGAAGCTGCAGACGGTTCTGGAAGCGGTGCATGACCTGCTGCGGCCCCACGGCTGGGCGCTGCGGTGGAACGTGGACTGTGAGTGCCGTGGCGCTGGGGGGTGGGGAGGCGTCCTCCCGACACTTGTCACCGACATTCGTCACCGACATTCATCACCGAGTCTCACCTTGCATTTTAAAAACCGATTCACCCTCCTGCTCTGTGCGAGGCAGTGTGGCCGAGCAGAAGGGCCAGAGAGGAGAAAGGTTAGGGTGCCTGTGGAAAGGGACCAAGTCACACTGTGATTCTGTTCCTCCCCTGCTCAGCGCAGAGAGGGTGACCTCCAGAGGCAGAAGCAGCCCCGGGGGTTCTGGCTGGGACTCAGCCCCAAATACCAGTGGCAGCAACACCAGTGAGCTGTTTTCTGATGACCCTTTGGAACGAGTCACAGAGCTGGCTGCATTAGCAATATGTGACGTCGCAATATTTCCAGCCAAGACACGAACGCGGAAGGCGAAAAACTAAACTGGGAGAAGCTGGAAAGATCTCCTCTGTCCTGGCCATGCCTGCCCCACTCCTTAACCTTGAATTTGGGCTGTCTGGCTGTGGCTTCAGAGCCCTCACTGCCGGGCCAGGGGCCTCTGTGGTCTGTGGGGCTTTGGGGACAAGACCCTGGAGCTTGGCCGTGTGCCTGGTTTCTTGGTGTCGAGAACTCGGACAGGCCCAGCTTGCTTTGTGGGTTGCCGGGGTTGTCGGTGTGAAATCAGGTGCCTTGTAAACTGTAAAGCCCCACGCTACAGTGGGGACTGTGACCAAGCCTTAGTCCACATGCTGAGGGCGAGATGGGACGGACGTGGGCAGGGCAGGAGTTAACGCCTGACGTCCCCAGAGCAACATTCGCCCTTGACAGCTGCCCTTGTCCTTACGGCCGCCTGCACAGAGGCAGGGCTTTCTTAGTGCCAAAGATAGTAACACACATTATTGTGATGGGTAAGTGGCCGTGACCTGTTTTTCATGATCTTTTCCCTTCTGTTGTGCTAATTTTACTATCCTGCATATTCCTCCTCCTTCTCACCATCCAATTTACCGCTTTTAAAAACATTACGCTTTTAAAAGCAGGCACACAAGTCACCATAGGCCAATGGGAAGAATAAATTAGAAACTAGAAACGAATCCACCCAGGATGCTCATCAACTCTGAATTTTTCCACGGCCCCTCTGTCCTTGCCTCCCTGAGGTCTCATTTAGACGCGGCGTCTTTGTCGCGTTGTGGACGTGGGCTGTGGGCTCAGGCTGCTGTGTAACCCAGTCTGAAACATCTCCCTCTTCCCCCCTGCCCAAAGCAATTCACGGCAAGAACCTGGTGGCCATCCTGCACCTGCTGGTCTCCCTGGCCATGCACTTCCGCGCCCCGATCCGCCTCCCCGAGCACGTCTCCGTGCAAGTGGTGGTCGTGCGGGTGAGTAGAGCCGAGCGGCCGGCCTGCGGGGCTGGGCTGGGAGGCGGCGTGACTTTCCTCCTGTAGCTTCCCTGCCCTTTCTCCCCCACCCGCCCCACCCCTGAAGCTGCCGTTTATCCCCCCTGACAAAGTGTGTATCTCACCCTGGTTTCGAGATCAGTGGTTGCAGCAGGAACAATGGTGTTGATTTGATTTGAGAAGAGGCAGAACCAGGGCCAGGAGGGTGTTGAGGTTTAATTTTCCACGTTTTTGAAAAGAACATTCGTTTCTCTCTAAAGCCAACTGGTGGGAATTCTGTCGCTTTGAATGCGCTTATTACTCTTTGGAGGAGGCGAGACCAGTGGTGGGAAGCAGATCCCCAGACGGCAGCTTCTGTGTTGGCGCCGTCATGCCCCGTCCGCTCTTGTTCTGGGTCCGTCCCTCTTCATTCACTTGCAGAAATGGAGCCAGGACCCAGGGTCCTTCTAACAGACGCGGCCGTGGGGTCACCTTTCTGCAGCCGTTTCCCTTCCTTTAAGTGGACGGGCGCTGCCTGGGGTTCGTGTACGGTTTGGGTCAGTAAACCCGCACTGGGCACCTGCCCCGCACCAAGCTGGCACGCAGGCTCCTGGGGACACTAAATGAGGAAAACACGCTCGGGCCTGAGGAGCAACTGCCAGAGAGTTGAGGTCACGCTCGAAACCCGGACGTCTCAAGTGTTTATATTGCTGGAGACATCCGGCCCCACTCCCTCCTCTGGTTTTTAAACTTATCAGTCCTGTGGTCTCTGTGGTCTGCGAGGTCCTGGCTGAACCTGTGTTTTCCGAAGCTGTTCTGACCCCTCCGCTGCGCCGGGAGCTCAGACTTGACCTGCCAGGAATGCCGCGTTCTGGCACAGGCGAGGGCCGCCCGCCATTTCTCTGCGTCTCCTTCCTAAGGAGGACGTTTGCGGTTGGCGGTGGGGATTCGAGACCCGGGGGCCAGGCCTGCGGCCCTCGTCTTGGACGCTTGCTTGCAGGCATTGCCTGGAAAGGCTTCCCGAGGACGCCGGGAATGTGGTTCCCAGCCCTGCCTGCGTCAGACTGGGGCCCGCGAGTGCTCTGCGGCTTGGCGTCCCGGGCGTTTCCTTTCAGGCTTGCGCTGGAGTCCAGGACAATGTGCTGGGCCCGCGGGAGGTTTCACTGACCCGGGTAAGCGCTGGCTGGTGCTTCTGCCTTAACCGGGACTAGAGGAGGACTCTCTGGGCCATGCCCCAAGTGGAACGAAATGGGGAGAGGAGGTCCCGGCAACCGCTGGACATCATTCCTCAGACCTTAGGGCTGCCTCTGTCTTCCCCCGAGCTGTCCCTCCACCTCTGGGCTTGCTCTGGTGACTGGTTGTCCAGCCCAAGATGGAGCGATGCAAGGACCGTGGTGTTTCGTGGGTGGAAGGAGTGAAGGGAAGGGCCTCGTTTACCACCCAGCTTGTGGCCTTGGGCAGATCACTTGATTTCACTGAGCTGCAATGATTTCCCCCATAAAATTGAGATTATATTAAGGCCGGAGGATTGCTTGAGGTCAGGGGTTCACAACCAGCCTGAGCAAGAGTGAGATCTCGTCTCTTCTAAAAACAGGACAATTAGCCGGGCATGGTGGCACACTCCTGTAGTCCCAGGTACTCAGGAGGCTGAGGCAGGAGGATCGCTTGAGCCCAGGAGTTTGAGGTTGCTGTGAGCTAGACTGACGCCACGGCACTCCAGCCAGGAAGACAGAGCAAGACGCTGTCTGAAAAAACAAAAAAACCTTCAAAGACCAGACACGGATTCCCTCACAATCATGGGGGGCAGAGGTCTGAAATCTGGGGTCTGCAGGGCTGTGCTCCCTCTGAAGGCTCCCGGGGAGGGTCTTTCCTGGCCTCTTCCAGTTTCTGGGGTGGCCGCCAGTCCTTGGTGCTCTTGGCTTGTGGCTGCATCTCTCTGACCTCTGCCTCCCTCGTCACGGGGCCTCTGCGTTTCCGGATCTGTTCTCTCTCCTAATAAGGACGTGAGTCACATTGGATTTAGTGCTCACTGTAACCCATGTGGCCTCGTCTTAACCAGTATGCGCAGACTGTCTCCAGGTGACATCCCATTCTGAGGTTCTGGGTGGTCGTGAGTGTTGGGGCCCTGTTCAGTCCTGGGCACGTCATTATGTCATCAGCTGCTTCCCTCTGGTAATTTACGCTCCTGCGGATTGTACGCCTGACCTCTCCCAGCTGCGTGACGTAGAGGGTCCCTTCTGGGAATCCTGAGCTGGAGCATCTGAGACCCCACAGATGCCAGCTCTCAGGGCGTGTGGAGGACGGTGGGGGGAGACTTGCAGCTGCTGTAAGGCCCCTGTGGTCACCTGTGACACACCTGCCGTGCGTGGCGTGGCTGTCGGTCTCCTGTGCTCTTCTGTAAGATGGTCTCCTGGCCCCAGGGCCGTCCGCGAGCGGCTTCAACTGCCCTGCCAGTATGTCCTTCCTTCTCATCTCGCTGCCTGCCCGATGTTTTGTATTGATTTGTTTATTTTGGGGTTTTCAGAAGCGGGAAGGCCTGCTGCATTCCAGCCACATCTCGGAGGAGCTGACCACAACCACGGAGTAAGTGGACCCGCCGCCCTGCCCCTCCAGGCCCTGCTGCTGCTTCAGGCAGGGTCATCGACGCGTGGGGGGCTGTTTCCTCCTCATGTCCCCTAATCTCAGGCTGAGACTTTCATTCAGGCCCCCACCCTGGCTTTCCTTCCTCCACACACTTTCTTCGAGGTTTTTAATATTTGAACCAAGTTATCGTCCTTATTTTTTCCTTCCTTACGTTAGAAGGTGAGCATGTCGCAGGGAGGGGTGGGCGGGGCGGGGGGAGCACTAGACCTGCCATCCACCGGGGGCGGGGGCTACACGTCTGAACTAGCAGAAATTGCCGAGCCACCTCTTGTCTCCTAGAGAAAGCCAGAGGGCAGGTGCTAAGAAGGCTAAAAAGCTTCAAATGTGTCGAAAACACCAAGTCAAACAGTGTATATTGTGTATGGATTTTAGGAGCCCTTATGATACCCCGTTAAGGGTCTTTAAAATTCGCTGCATTTGTGCCTCGGCTGAACCTGTTGCAGATGAAATAGAACATTTAGAAATTACCTGTCTCAGCTAACCCACCGGCTGAGTTCACAGAGTGATTAATTACTGTGTCACGCATTCAAAAACTGGAGCTGACACAGGAAACCACTCCCGGCGCTCCAGCTGTTGAAATTGCCGAGACGCTCGTGTGCGTCTAACGCACGTGCACGGGCGCGGCGAGGCCTCCCAGTCTGCCTGAGCCGTGGAGGGAACGGGAAGAGCTGGGGGAGGGGAGGATGAGGAACGTGGTTCTGCGCACACAGTGGGCCTTTGGCAGCTGCTCGGACGTTCAGCAGTGGAAGGGCAGCTTGACGGGATCTGAGATTGGGCTGGTGTCTAGTTGTCTGTTGTGTAACAAGTCACCCCCGAAAACGACAGCCATTTCATTTCCCGCTGCAATTCTGTGGGTCAGCAGTTTGGGCAGGGCTCAGCTGGGTGGTTCGTGGGTATTCCCACCCGGGGTCACTGGTGTGACTGCGAACATCTGCAGGCCCGACCGGGGCTGGGGAGGCTGAGATGGCACCAGGTGCTGGCCTCCCCCATGAGCCTTCCCTCCTCCTGGAACTGGTGTCTTCTCAGGGTGCCCTCAGGGTTCTGAGAGTCCAGTGCAGCTGCGGGCTCGTCTTGGATGCCCACGCCCATGTCCTCACTTCTGTGGGTCAGAGCAAGTCCAGATTGTCGTGGGTTGGGGTGGGAGAAAAACTCCACCTCCTGACGCAAGAGCGGCCCCCCACACTGCAGCGGGCCGGGTGTGCTGCCACGGGAAGAAGCCGTGGCCGTCTTTGCATTCTCCCGCAGGGGAGCGTGCCGGAGGGAGGGGAGCAAGGAGTCGGGAGCTCTGCAGACATCCTGGTCCAGAGACAGTCGGGGCACAGGAGTGGGTGGGAGAATGGCCTCAGCAGTTCCCCGGCAGGAACGGCAGGCAGAGGGTTCTGTGCGCCAGGCACCGTGCGGGCAGCCAGACGCTGAGAGGTGTGTCAGACGCAGGTCCTCTCCTCCAGGGCTGCCTGTCACGCTGCTGAGAAAGGACGAATCCACAGAAATGTAAAATCCAGCACGGGGGCGTGTGGGTGTGCCACGGGGCCCTCAGGGACTTTTCAGGAGGAGGGAGTGCCCCGAAGTCAGGGCTGGGGGGATTGCAGTGGAAGCCGTCTCAGCTGGGCCCCAGACAGCGCTGAGCCATGGAGGACAGAGTTGCGATTTTCCAGCTCTGAGTGGGTGTCACTCTGCTGGCTGGGGTTGGGGGAGAGGCTGGCAGTGACCTCTGGGCTGATGCCTCAGGTCAGTCCTCTTGGCTCATCCCACCATCCTGGTCTCTCGAGACCTGGTTTGCTACCTCCTGTCCCTTCCCCTCCTGTGGTCGCAGAGGATCTGCCGGAGCCTCTGAAGCATTGAATGTCTGCTGAGAACCACTTGGTGGCCCAAAGATCCACATTCAGTTTCTTAAGGTGTCATCGCCACCTCTGGTCTAGTCTCAGTATTCCCGTTTCGCTTTCTAGAGGCAGCTGTGATTGAGGTCACCTCCTCCAGGAAGCCCTCCAGTTTGCCAAGCAGGAGAGCTTGGCTTCCTGTTGGTTCCCATAGTGTCTGAGCACATGTGGTGTGCGCTGAAATACTGGCTTCTGCGTCTCTCTCACCACCAGGCGTCCCGGGGGCAGGGCCCACGGGGTATTAATTTCTGTATCCCCATGGCCTGCACATAGTAGGGTCTCAAGGCAGTGTTTGTTACATAAGATGGAGCCAAGGAACTTGTCCTAGAGGGATTGGGGACGAGATCGAGCTCTCCCGGCCTCTGAGGAAGGCCGTGTGTGGAAGGGAACTGTGCACTCGGGCTCTGGAAATCTTTAAGGACAACCTAGTTGTTGAGTCCCTTTGTGCTGCCACCTGCCAGAAAGCCGGGCCTGGCCTGTGGTTCTTTTAGGATCCTTTAGGTTCACAAGTCCCCGAAAGCACGTCGTGTGTCCTCGCTGGCACGTGACGCTTGGCCAGTCTGCGGCCGCGTATTCGAGGTTCGCTGTTCTGCGGCTGCCAGGAGCCCTGTCGTCTGGCGAAATCTCCTCCGTATTAACCACTCTCAGGATCTAAGTGCCTCTCCTCCAAATGGCATCACGGGGCGGCTCCCGTGCAAATAGCGATGGCGATCTGCTGCTGATCTTGTGCAAACATTGCTAATCCACACGGGCACCTCTCGTCTGTGATCAGAGCAGGACGGAAAGTAGCAAACGTGACTTGCATTGTTACCGGTAGGCCCGCACCGGGCGCCCGCCTTCCTCCCGCGCCGTGTTCAGCCGTGTTCAGCCGTGTTCAGCCGTGTCTGAGCAGCCGCTGACGACTCTTTGTGCTCTTGTTTGCAGGATGATGATGGGACGGTTCGGTGAGTAACCCAGGGGCCGGTGGGGTGGGGGGGCCGAGGCATGTTGGGGCTGCCCCGGGAAGCTCCGGTGCTGACGTGTGCAGGGTGCGGGAGTCCAGGTGGGTCTTGCTGCGCCCAGCAGTGCTGGAATCCTGGAGAATGTGCGTTTGTTTCTCGGAGCCACGGGGGGCTGGGTGGGCAGCGGAGGAGCCGGATGTGCCTGGGATGTGGCACCTGCTCGTGCTGTTGGGGACGGGGGCAGGAGGGAGGCGGGGTCAGCCTGAACACGGGCATGACCAGCGGGGAGAGACTTTCCTTGTGGAATGGACGTCATGCACGTGTTTCCTACCTGAAAATCGCGGTTTAGCAGACTTCTTAGAGTCAGGCCGCTGTGGCTCTGGTCCCGGCGGGTGACCTGCCCCTTCATCTCTCTGCTCCTCATCTGTGAGTTGGGAGAGCGGAAGGCTCTGCCTGGCAGGGCAGCTGAGGGATGGGGTGAGATTGCGCATGTGAACCCTGTTCAGGCCGGCCTGGCCCTCCTGAAGTGGGGTGTTCAGGGGCTGTGCCCAAAGAGGGGGCGATTATTCCCTCTCCTCCCTTCCCCCCAGATGAAGCCTGGGACCCCATGTTCATCTCAGCAGGTGGAAGCCCCTGGCTCTCAGCCTGGGCCGGGTTCACTGCTTTGGGAGCGGTTCGAAAGAGAGAGCCCTCGAGCCCCCCAGTATCGTGTTCTCCCACAAGCGGGGAGGGGAGAGCAGCTGTTAGAAGGGAAAGCAGAAACCAGGTAGAAGTTTCCCTGCCTACCTCTCAAGCCTGCCAGCCCGAGCTGCCGGGTCCTCTGGGTGGGGTGCCACCCGCCCTGAGTCCCACACGGTGAGGACGGGGTCGGCTTGGCGTGGGGCTCTGTGACCTCAGCCTTATTGGGGGCCTGACCGTATGCTACGGTTGTCACATGCAGCGAACGGTTATGGCCCAAGTTCTGCAGGTCTTGCGTTGGGAAAATGCAGTCGTTGTGTGTCCCCTGAGCTTTCGTTAGTAGATCTTAAGCTGTGCTGGGAAAATTCACGGGCCTCCACAATGTATTTTTTTAAGGAGCAGTTCAGCCCTTTTTAATGTCTTTATTATTAAAAAGCAAATAGAGGAGAGGAAAGGGCAGCCTCCTGTTCACAGTTGCTGAGGAAGCACCCGCGGCAAGGATGCCAGCGCAGGGCATCCCCCGCCCTGTGTCTAGGTGGGGGCCCGGGTTGGGGTTCCAGGGCCCCCTCTGTGACCTCCTTTTGTCCTTTCTGCACGGGGAGGCTCAGATCCTCCCAGGTATGAAGAGGACAAGAGCGTGGGACCCCGAGCGGTTTCGAGAGCCGTCTCGGTTTTCTGTGCAGTTGTCACCTGTGTGATGGTTCAGGTCTCGTTGGGGATTTAGGGAAATCTAAAGAGAATCAGTTCAGTTCGCTTGGGGACACAGGAGCATCAAGCTGTGCGCGGCACCCAGGCCCAAGGGAGCGGAAGCCTGGCTGGGAACTGAGCTTGTGAAATGCAGACAGGCTATTAGTCAGTGACAGGCAATTAGTTCCGCGCCCGGCTTTGCCGCTTCTGCTGACGCAAGCTCCGAAGTCTCCTGGTTACCCAGACCGGCACCCTCGGGCGCAGCAGGGCTTCTGGCCCGCACCCTCACCTGGGCGGCAACAGCACGTCTTGTGGCTCCTGTCCATGTCACTCGCCACCTCCAGCCCCCTTACCCTGCCAGGACATGGCCGAGACACCTCAACGCCTGAAGCCCTCTCTTCCCTGGCGTGCGTCCCCCAAAGCAGCTAGTCCTGGGCCAAGGTCGCCTGCGGCAGATCCCAGACGTTCCAGGAGCCCCCAGAGCACCAGGCAGACCCTCTGTGGCAAAAGGCCGGGCTTTGCTGGGAGCTGTGTCCTGGGCCTCGGTTTCACCCCTGAGCTCCGCTCTGTCCACCCCCGTTTCCACTGGGAGAACGGGCTCCCCCGGCCCCTGCCTGCCGCCTGGCAGCATCACTGTCCTGGCCGAGGTGGGTGAGGAGGCTTTCCTCTCCGTGGAAACGAGTCTCAGGGGAGCTGGGGAGGTTGCAGCCTCGTCTCCATGGCAACGGGTTTGCTGGTTGCCTCTTCTCTCTGCAGGCGGCCCTGCCCCCTCCCCAGCTTCCCTGGCCCAGAGCCCCTTCCCGAGGCGGGAGGGGAGCAGGGGAGGACACGCTTTCCTTATTCCCTCCTGTCTCTCCCCTTCACGGCTCTCCCGTTTCTGCCAACAGTCTAGAAACTCCAGGTGGCTCTCACCACCCCTGGTTCCGTGCCTTCCACGGCCCCCTGGGTGTAGGGGCAGCCAGCTCCTGAGCCTGCTCCGGGCTTTCTTGCACCTGTCTTTGTATTTTCTGTCCCCTCTGCCCCGAATGCCTGCCCTCCTCGTCTCTCCCCAGCAAGCGCCACTCAAACTGCGAGGCCCTTGGTCCCTGGCCCTTGGTCCGTGGGCTCCAGACTCAGATGCCTGCAGGGACCAGGCCAATAACACAGAAGAAAGCAGCTAGATTATAAAATGACACACGGCGGCTGCCCCTGGGACCCCTGAGAGCTGGCACCCCAACCCCGTGGGCAGCTTGCTGAGGCCAGGCAGGAGCAGAGGTTCACTGTTCTTCAAGGGAAGCCAGATGTTCGGGACTTTGGACACACCTTCCAATTTAAAATATGTTGACTGAAACCCAAGTGGAGCACTTTTTGAGGGTTGAACTTGGGCAAACGCTGGCACGCTCTCGTTGCTTTGGCCCCTCCCTGGGCTTCTCTATTCCGGCACTTCCTGGTTATGCCAAACGGTTTACCCCTCCCTGGGCCTCCCCTCAGCCTGGGCCCTTCCCCAGAACAGAACTGCTCCTTGTTTATCTTTGTGACCGACAGTCCCTGGAGTCTACGGAGAGGTCGGGCGGGGGGGGGCACTTCGGGAGGTAGCTGCCAGGAGCGGGCTTTGTCCCTCATCCCCTGCCTTGATAGTTCCTGCTCCGGTGGTGGGCTCGGGCTGCCGGTGCTCCTACGCTCAGGGGAGGAAGTGGGTTTGCAGAGAAGGATTTGCCCAAAGTCACGAGATTTTAAGTCGAGCAACTGGCACTTGAACCTGGATCTATTTTCCTTTCCAAGGCCGCGCCCACCGCAGGGGTGCAGTAACGGCTTGCTCAGGTCCTGTGCCCAGAGCCCCCGGCCCCTCCCGGCCGTGTGGGCTGAGTGACGGTGCTCCAGGCCCCCGGGTGCAGGTGAACACGGCCTCCCTGCGTGGCATGACTCCGCCAGCCCAGCGGTGGCCCAGCTAAATATACCCCGGCTGACGTCAAGCGCTCTTCTGCTCCTGGGGTTTTTCTTATGCTGCATTTAAAGTTCGTGTATTGCTTTGTAAAGATGCAGTTTTTTTCCTGGCCCTTGGCAGACTGTCTTATTGAACATAATCTGACTGAGACGATTATAAAAATAATTCACAGCTGCCACGTTAGCAAAGCTGGCATGTGTCAGGAGGGCGCATTCTGGTCGGTGTCAGTTTATTTAGGTGAAGGAAGCTTCCCTCCCCTCCCCCTCAAACACGTACACGCACACACGTGTACACATGTATACACATGTACATAACAGATATACACATCTACGCACACACTTGCCTTCTCTCCCTTCCTCTTCGTTTCTCACCCCTTCCCCCCACCCCCACCCAAGGCCAAGGAAAGGGCCATTTGGGCTGGGCTGGGGGTGTGAGCTGCCTCCTGGGGTCCTGGCCTTGGGCACCAAACACTCTCCTTTCGGGGCATGGAAGGGCCAGGAAGCTTCCTGGTGGGGGTCTCTGGCTTACTTGGGCCCGGCAGTGGCCTTCTCTTTCCTTTTCTCCTTCCTTCCCCCTCCCTCAGACTGGCCAGGCCCCTGGGCCACCCCTAGACAGGCAGGAGGAGTCTTTCTACCCCACCCCACCCTGTCGAGGGGCTCCCCAGCCCCCCAGGGCTCTGTGTTGGGGTTTGGGCCCAAACCTTGGCTGCTGACAGGGCCTCTCTGCTGGTCTCTGAGCATACGCTGCCCCCAGGAGCCTCAAGGACAGGAGGCCAGGGGCCCTAGGTCCCTTCCAAAGGGTGGTCCCCCCCCCAGGCGCCACATCTCTGCCCCCATCCTGGATACCTCAGCCCTCTGCTTGGGGTCCAGGCTGCAGCAGTCTCTGTCCCATGTGCCTCCATGTATCCCCCATGGTAGCGGTCAGCTCAGGCTAACCAGGCGCCCGCCCCAGCCCTCCTCCTCCACGGGGAGCCTTCAGGGCCTCCGATTGGAAAGGGGAAGAGGTTATTCCTTGTTAATCTGGAGGGTGCCTGCATGGCAGTTGGAGCAGGCCAGGGCTCACCCGGCAGAAGGAAGATGAGTGGGCAGCAGGGAGAAGTGAGCTACCCATCCCCGAAGACGCCCCTGCAGAGGCGGACGCCCCCGGGAGGACTGCCGTGGACAGATTCTGGAGGATTTGTTCTGAGCACCCGCTGCCGACCCTTTGCCGTTCTGGGAGCCAGAGACAGGGCAGGAAACAAGCAGGACGGCAGTCCCAGCCATGAGAGGTGACGGTCCAGCAGTTGTGTGGAGAGCTGTCATTTCACATAGTGACAAGTACTATGGAAAAAGTGCACCTGGGTAGGAGGACAACAGTGGGGGCAGGTGCCCCTCGGAGGAGGTGAGGTCCGAGAACAACCTGAAGGAAGCCAGGCAGTGTGGATAACAGGTGCAAAGGCCCTGAGGCAGCATGTGTCTGGCATGAGCAGGAGCAGCTGGAGGGCTGGGTGGTGGGGTGACGCTGGGGAGGATGGTTGTGCAGGAGGATGACACTGAGTTGGGGGATCCCATAGGGTTGGAGAGTTTTGGTTGGGTGGGGGTGGGGAGAGGGGGGAGAAAGGATCCAGTTTGCACTTGAAAGGGCTCCTCTGCCTGCTGGGGAGACGGGTGAGCAGGGGTGAAGCTGCTCCCAGGCGAGGGGCGTTGGGGGCACAGCCACGGCGGGGGCGGGAGTGGTGGGATTCACAGACAAGATTGCTGGTGGACGAGGAGCCTGGGAACAAGAGAATTCAGGATGCCCAAGTCCTGAGAGGTGCAGGCCAGGTGTGCAGCTGCCATCCAGGTGTTTCATATGGAAAGCTAAAAGCTGAGTGAAAAGGAGCCTCAGCAGCGTCCAGCCCGAGCTTTTATTGTATTGCTCCGAAGCGTGCTGACTCCCTTGGCTTTGCCCGGACGTGCCATGAGACGCAGCCTCAGCCCTGGCAGGAGTCGAAAGGATTCCGGGCAGGCGTGCGTGTTGAGGCCGGACATCCCGAGGGGTCAGAAGCTGGCGGGTCCCTGGACGGCCGGGGATCGGGACAGCGCTGGGTGTCCCCATTAACCCTTCTCCGGGTCTCTCTTCGCATGTGCTCAGAGCGGGACGCCTTCGACACGCTGTTCGACCACGCCCCGGATAAGCTCAGTGTGGTGAAGAAGGTAAGTGGCGGCGCCGTCCTCTGCTCCGTGGCGGCGCGGCGCCTGCTGGGAGGGAGGTGGGGAAGAGTTTGGAGTCTCTGGAGTGTTTGCCACATGGATTGAAATGTAATTACAGTCAAACCCTAACTACAGTGCATAAAATTAGCGCCTTTTAACTCAACATCCCTGCTCCCCGGGTCCCCTGCCCACCCCTTCATGCTGTTAAGTGAATTACAGAGCAGCAGTTCGTTCTGACTCGAGGCCATTTCTCAACGTGGAACTGTGTTTCAGCGTCAACCTGCCGGCGCGCTGGCCTCATTACCATGGAGCTGCATCCGCAGCCTGCCCGGGTGGCAGAACTGTTCTGTCCATGGCTTTGGCCTCCAGACAGAGGACGGGGCGTTGCCAGCCCAGGCGGCTGCTGGTCAACGTGTGGGTGGAGAAGGACGCGTGAACCCAGGCAGGCTCCGGAGCCGGGGCTGGGAGTGACCAGCTCCCGGGGTCCTGCCGGGAGGACTCGTTTCCACCCTCTGCACAGGGAGCCGTCAGTGCTCGCAGACGTCCCATTCCAGGAGGCCGCAGTGGGCGGTGCGTGTTTCTCCGCTGTGACGTCCGAGGCGCGCTCATTTCTGCCCGTGGCCCGGGGACGGGAGTCCTGAGTTGTCTGGGCAGCTTCCCCAGACGGGTTTCTTAGCGCAGGACTTGCGAGAGCCTGTAGCGCGCTCCTCCGAGGGGAGGACCCCCAGGGACCCTGACAGAATCAGTCCCGTGGATGAATCTAATCCAGCTCCCCCACTTACCAGCTGTGTGCCAGCCTCAGTTTCCCCATCTGTCAGGTGGGGGCAGAGACATCACCTGCCTCTTAGGGGCTCTGTGAGGATGAACTTGGGTCCCGTCTGTGCCAGGGCTCTGTGTGCAGTTCAGGGTCACTGATAGCGCTGGATGTGATGCGGCTTTCGTCTTTCGGTAGATGATGATGATGTTGATTCACTTTTTGGAAAGACACGTTTTGGGGACCGGGGCCACCAGCAGGAACAAGACAAAATCCTTTTATCTGCCTGACGGCTTCTCCCCTCTAACCTGCCGCTCCTCGGCCCCCGGCTACCTCTGCAGGTCTCTCCCCGGACCACCCACTACTGACACCCTCCCCTCCCCCGAGAGGGTTCTAGAAGTGCCTGGCTGCCCACTCCGCCCACGCCCACCTCCCCCTGGCCCACGCTTAGGACCATCTCAGATGTTCCCTCCTGTCATGCCGTGTGCCCAGGAGACCTCCCTGCAGCACGCGCTTCCCGGCAGGGCTGGGTCTCCGGCTGTCGTTCCCACCGCCACGTGTTCGCGGAGAATGACACCACGGGCTCTTCAGGGAGAGGCTCTCTCCCACAATCTTTGCGTCCCCAGCACCACGCAGTGTGCCCGGCACATGGGCGAGCATAAATTTGGTAGAGTAAGAAATCGCACCACTGTGGGGGTGGGCGGCATTGAGTTGCCGTTGAAGTTGGGCTCGATTGCCAATAGTGCGAGTGGCAGGTTTTAAACGGGCAAAGAGAAGCCAGTGCCCCTCGGTGCACGTGTAACAGGCTCGGAAGACCCCTGCAGCCCTAGAGAAAGCCCCGGATGGCTGTCTCCGTGCCTGAAAATGCAGCGGGTGTAGCCGGGGCAGCCTTTCCCGCTCAACCTTCTGAGCGTGCCGCATGCCGTTCAGGGTTACATCTGAGACACATTTGGAAAGGTAATTATCTTCCCCTGACAATTTTATCTTTCTTAAGAGCACTGGTCATTCTTCTGTGATTGCTAACTGTGGCACACGTGTGCCTGGGTCGGAGCACAAAGACGTGTGTTTTCTCCTCCAGCCGGGATAGACGCAGGTGCGATGTGCGAACACTAAGGCTGCTGTAAGGTCGTTGCGTTTGAAACGCGGGCTGTTTATTTTAGCACACGAGGAGGTTGTGGGAGCGTCTCACAGTGCCCTGGGGCACACGTCAGACCTGCTCCACCCAGCGGGACTGAACGTGGTCACTGACGCCGCCCGCGTCTCTTTCTCTTGCCAGTCTCTCATCACCTTCGTGAACAAGCACCTGAACAAGCTGAATTTGGAGGTGACGGAACTGGAGACCCAGGTATGCAGCGCTTGGGTTGAAGGTCCTTTGTCCTGTGTCGTTTTCAGGCAGCTTTTTGCTCCCAGGTGGGGCGTGCGAACAGCGCAGACACCAAGCTGTTCATCTCCCACTGTGCAGCCAGAAATAGCGCTGAGCCCAGCCACCGGGGCCTGTTTCAGACCCTCTGTCCTAGTGTCCAGGAGCCGCTGTAACAGAGTGCCACAAACTGAGTGTCGGAAACAACAGAAATTTGTGTCCTCCCAGTTCTGGAGGCCAGAAGTCCAAAATCCAGGCAGTGGCCGGGTTGGTTCCTTCCAAGGCTGTGAAGGAGAGTCTGTCTCAGGCCTGCCTCCAGCTTCTGAGGTTTTTCTGACCGTCTTTGCTGTTGCTCAGCTGTAGACACGTCCCTCCGATCTCTGCCTCCGTCTTCGTACGGTATCTCCTCGTGTGCACGTCTGTCTGTCCCAGTTTCCCCTTTTTATAAGGACGCTGTCAGTGGGATTAGAGCCCACCCTAATGACTTAATCTCTACTCATTACACCTGTGAAAACCCTATTCCCGAATAAGGTCACAGTTATAGGTTCGAGGGGTTAGGACTCCAACATATCTCTTTTGGGAGACACAGTTCAACCCATAACACCCTCTAAGGCTCCACCCCCACCCTACCACAGGGCCTTTGCATGGGCAGGTCCCTCAGGTCTGGAATGTTCTGTCCCCTCTGCTACTACTCTCCCATGCAGCTTCCACACTGAGCACTGTGGCGGGACCTAGCAAACGCTCGATAAAACGTCCCTTGAGTGAGCGAATACAACATATTTCTTTTGCAGTAAGTTTATCAAGTATACTCCTGCACCCCCAGCCCCCACTCAAAGCTAAGATAGCCTCATGAAAATATGTTTTTGAGCACTCAGCAAGCATTAAGGACAAAATACAATTTTCCCAGGATTAGCTGGGTGCTTGAATTTGGAGTCTTGGGTTCTCGGTACAGACTTCTCTAATGCATAGCTGATCCTTCTTAAACCCCAGGCAATTGCATTCATTCCTTTTTCTTTTTAACTTTTCTCATTTGCTTTTCTAATTAAAAAAGTAATTCAGGTTCATCGTAGAAATGTCTGAAAATGCAGATAAGCAAAACAAATAAAAATCATCTGTAATCCCATCAGCCAGAGATAACTGCGCGGAGGGTTTCATGCAGCTAATTGTGGACAGCATGGGTCTGTATTTGAAGGCCTAATGGTCCGTTTTCAATGTGTGTATTTATTTGTGGATTGTTTGCAAACACGTTTATCATCCTTAGCAGTTTACTAATGTTGCTCATTTAGCCTCTGATTGTTTGCCGTTTGATACATTAACAGTCCAGGAGTATACTGGGTGCAAAGTGAAAATTCTCCTTTCTTCTCTGCTATAATCCTGCCCTAGCAGACTCTCCAGAGGTAAACCAGCTACAGTTAATGGGCAGATGTGTGTTTCTCTAGATACTTTCTATAAATAAATGTATTTTTTTAAGGACAGTAGGTATACTGTCAGCTGTTTTGTAGTGTGGTTTTGTAACTGAATATATCATGGGCATCTTTTTGTATGAGAGAAAGAGTGTGTGTGTGTTTCCGTGTGGTCCTTTCTCTTTTGCTTGGTCTGTCTGTCTTGTCACTGTTACTGGGAAGGGTATCTCCTTGTTGGAAGGCTGCACCAGACCCAGTTAAACCAGAGTGTCACGACTGGACATTTTCTGCTCTGGTCAGTGGCAGCATGTGGCGTCTCCGTGCACGGCTATTTGTGCCCTGTCTGTTCCCAGCCACAGCCTGGGAATGGCGTCGTCAGAGCAGAGGCCGCGCCACACGCTTCGACGGCCAGGAAGGTCGGATGCCGTCGGGACACTGGTACTGCCGTGGGGCGTGTATGGAGCTCTGCTTCCCCGCACCCCACCACGGTCCCCACCGCGCTTCTCAGCGGGGCCGGCACGTCAGCGTCAGCAGCCAGAGCATCGTGGACGGGGATCTAAACTCAGATTTGCATTTATCTTTATTTACTTAATACCTTCCATCTTTTTTCTGCCATCACACTCCGTAGACTCTTAAATGTATTTTTAATCAGTGGTCCACCAGGAAAGACCACTTGCCACAGAAATGCACGGAATTTTTTTTTTCTTTTGTTGCAAAGGAATTTGGGTTTTTTATAAATACTCTATATTAATACCATTTATAAAGGTTATAAATCATTAAATTCTTGATGCCCTGGGAGTCAGAGAGGCCCAGGTTCGATTCCTGTTAGTGTGCGTGCTGTGTGTGGTGGTGCTTGCGCACGTGTGGTGGCGGGGGGCGGTGTGTTTTCCTTCCTTTTAAAAACCATTTTCCCCTGTGGACAGCTCCTAGCTCTGTGGTACTGGGCGAGTTTCTCAGCCTCTCTGAGCTTCTCTCCACAAGCTGACAGTGGGGACAGTAGACGGCGTGAGGAGTAGTTACAATCCGAGAAGGCAGGGCTCGACGGGAGGCCGGCGGTGCTGGTCTCTGGACCCCCTGCTCTGGGCCCCTGCAGGTGGGCCGGGCTCCCCCTCTGCGGCCCTCCCTTGCTGTGCCTTCCTTTCTGCATGGCCATCTCTGCCACGTCCCGGTGCGCCAGGGCGGGTGAGAAGATGCCGGGACCAGAGGAAAGACCTCGGCTGTCACAGCCTGTGGGTGTGGCAGCACGGCCGCCCCTACTTCCCCGGGCAGTGGCCGGGGTCGATGTCCTCACTCAAGCAGCAACTCCTCGCTCCCTGGGAGTGAGTCCCTGGAGATGCGAGCGCCGGTCTCTTTGGGTGCGGCCGCTAGTGTCCCTCTGGGGGAGCACCAGTGCACTCGGCCAGAGCGCTGCCGGCGTTAAGTTTCTGTGCTAAGTCACACGTACGTTTTCTAAAAACCCTTCTGATGTCCTTAAACAGAGGAGGAGATGGCTTCTTCGTGATGTGGGACCTGAGGTGTGTGGCAGGCAGGTCAGGTATCATTTGTGCACCCACTGCCAGCACGTGGGGTCCCAGCTCGGCACTGACGGGGCCCTGGAGGACGGTGGCCCGCTCGCGGTTGCCTTACGGTTTAGGTTTTCTAGCTGCTGTCCCCTTCTAGGGAACGTGGCTTTTAACATGGGATATTTGTTTGGCTTTGCATCTAAAGTACAATCAAGGGATGTTTGAGGAGCTGCAGTTAGCTTTAGTAAGTCGCCCTCCCGTCTGCAAATTCTCATTCTATCCGTTGCGCGTTGCCAGCCCCGGCAAGCCCCTCCGCCCTGTCCACTTGTCCTGCCTGAGAATCTTCTAGACCACTGCTGACCAGCAGGACTGTCTGTCGTGAGGGATGTATCCTCTAGCTGCGCCATCCAGTACAGCAGCCACGGGCCACCTGAGGCTACTGAGCGCTTGACACGTGGCGCACGTCACTGAGGAGCTGAATTTTGTATTTCCGTTTTTAGAAAACTCAGATTTATGAGTTCTGGAGATTGGTCGTGCAGCAAAGTGAGTGCGCTTAGCATGACTGAACTGCGCACTTACAAGTGGTAAAGGTGGTGAATTTCATGTTGTGCTTATTTTACTTCAATTAATTAATTAAAAATAAATTAAAGAGCAAAACTGATATAAGCCAGACAGAAACAGACAAATGCCGTAGGAGTCCACTCACGTGGGATCCCAGAGGAGTCGAATGCACAGACAGGGCGTGGGACGGGGTGCAGGGGCGGGAGTGGTCAGCGTTCACTGGGCGCAGTTTCCACGTTCCGGGAGGTGGGTGGTGCCGATGGCGGCGCAGCGGTGTGAATGTGCTCGGGGCCACCGCACGGTGCGCTTAGCAATGGTCAGGTGGTAAATTTCATGTCACGTATATTAAAAATCACAATAAAAGAGAATAAATCAGCAACATTCAAACAAAAACGTTTTCATTTAAATAGCTGCATGTGCTTTTGCTACCCGATTGGACAGCAGTCCTAGACCTCTGAAGGCCTCTGCTGTAGGCAGCGGTGCTGGCCCACCCGCCCCATCTGCTCCCTGCAGGTCGTGAGTCCGTCACCCCAGCAGCTGCCACTGAGCGCTCACTGTGTGCTGGGTGCCGGATCCCTGTGACAGCCCTGAGCGACGGGAGCCGGTGTCAACCCCAGGGACAGTGGCTGGGGGACAGTTGCAGGTCCACGGTCCTAACCGGGCAGCCACGCTCAACCCTAAACACTTGCCCCTCACGTTGGGCCTTCCCAGCACCCTGTGCACTAGGCAACCCCCCACCCCACCCCCGCTCTTGCTTCGTGTGGGTGGGAGCTGAGTCTCCTTCACCCCCCCAGGCGCTTTACTGGATTCCAGGTTCTCTTGCCTGAAAGGAGGGATGGATCGTTTTACTTTAAAATATTCCCCCCACCCCGGGTTTGTGCTGAGTACTCGCCGGCCCGTGCATGCCCAGAAATGTCACCCAGTGTCTCTCCGCAGTTTGCAGACGGCGTGTACCTGGTCTTGCTCGTGGGCCTTCTTGAAGACTACTTTGTTCCTCTGCACAACTTCTACCTGACCCCAGACAGCTTCGATCAGAAGGTACGTGCGTGGCCTCTGTCCTTCGTAGGGGCCCAAGAGACGCTCGTTGAAATGCGGAGCAGGGAATATTCCGACAGCTCCTTCTGCAGCCCGGCTGCAATCTTCAAAAATTAAAAATTGCACGAGTGATGTTGCAATTAGATGTCACTCTTGGTAGGAGAAATGAGACACCCGTCGGCAGTACACGGCACATCCAGGTTTTGTTTGGTGCGTTCTCTTCGGGGTCTTTTCCACGGGACTGTGTAGTTTTTAATACATGTGGTCACGTGTCAGTGGAGCTGCACACCTTTCCCGTGTTCTGCCACAGGTGTCACCTCTGGTTTTCCCTCGTGTTGCACGAGCTTCCAAACACCATTTCCGCAGCGGCATAAGGTCCCAAGGAGTAGTTCTGTTGCCAGTGTCTTCCTGCTCCCCACTCTTGGGCAATTAATTTGTGTCTGTTTTTTTTCCCTACTCAAACAATAGGGCATCTTCTTGATTGTATGTGTGTGTGTGTGTGTGTGTGTGTATATTTTTTTTTTCCCATTCTTGTGTGTGGTTTTCTTAGGAGAGTTTCTCAGCTAGGATTGCATGAGTCAGTCATTCAGACCTGGGCTGGCCCCACCCCCAGTGCCACCGTCTTTGCCGTCTGCCTCCTGCGTGGGGCCTGCTGTAGCGAAGCCTGTCGTGGCAGTATTTAGTGCATCGCCGTTAGAAACTTGGCCGTGCACGGGCTGGATTGCTTTGGACTCACAGGCATCTGTCATTTTATTTTCCCAAAGTGCTAGACCCGTGAGTCAGGGAGGCAGACAGTGTAAGCCGGTGGCAGCAGCCAGAGAAGCAGCAGAAAACGGGGCCAGTGTTTATCAATCTGCCCACTTCTGGCACCTTGCAGCCTGTGTGCTTGTAGCCAAATGTTGTTCCTGTCTTGCCTGCTGAGATAGAATCAGAACAGATTAGAGAGGTCCTGCATGATGGGCCCGTGCTGAATGGAGGGAGAGAGCGCGCACGCGCACAGAGGGAGCGAGCAGAGCCGTGCAGAGCTCGGCGGGAAGTGTGGGTGCCTGCGCTGTTCTGGAAATGAGAAGACAGACAAGTCGGTGGAGAAGTTCAGCATTTCCAGGCCCGCACCCGGCTGACCGCAGAACCGTTGTTTTGGAGATATCTTCTCTTTGTTCAAACTGATAAGAAAACGGGGGGCAGGAACGGTGGATTAGCCAGGAGATCTAGAACTGGTTTCTCTCCAAGACAAGGCTTTGTACAAATGGCAGAGGCAGCGTCTTCCCTTTGAAATGGGGATCAAAGTCCTTGTCAGCTGCTGCCCCAGCCTGGAAGGCCGAAAAGGCCTGAGTCATCCGCCTCCACCTCTGAATGGGAGCGAGGACAGGAAGGCTATTTTAGCGTACTGCACGCAGCAGCCCTCGTCCCATCGCCCTGGTGCAGGGGGCCTTGGGTCCGAGGTGGTCTGTGCGCAGCCAGCGCTCGCTCAGGAGGGTCCGAGGATGCTACTGGTTCCAGCCCGGCCTCCATGGCCCCCAGCCCCGCCTTGTCTTCCCTCCCCCGCATAGGGCCAGCACCCGTGATGTTTATAATGTACCTCCTGGTCCTCTGCCCCCCAGGCAGGTGAGTGTCCCCGCAGTAGAGGACTGACCCACTTCAGCCGGGCCCAGCACCTGTGCGCTCGGCACTGCTTGCGGGTGGGGCGGCGGCAGCACCGTCTGGTAACGTGTCCTGTGGGCGGAGGCCGCAAGGCAGCAGCCCCATGTGTCCCGGAGGAGGGACTGAGGTTCAGTGGGAAAAACCCGAGGTTCATCATGAGCCACTGTCCTCAGGCATGGCGGTGACTTGTTTTTAAACAGTTGCATGGGACTTTTTTTGGTTTCTTTTTGAGACCAGGCAGCCGAGACCCGTAGTTTCTTGCTGACAAGTGAACGGCACTCGGCGCGATCTCAGATGTGTGGACAGGACCACGGCATTCTGTTTTAAAGCTACCGGTTTGAGTCCCACTCTGTCGGCCACTGTGCCGAGCACCCTGCGCCCCGATTGTCGTTCTGCAAGCTCTGCAGACTCCGGCCCTCTGTGCAGTGCAGTGTGTCCCGGAGACGCGAAGGTCACCCCTGGAGGAAGATACTAGAAGGGGCTTCGCGGTTTTAGGTGCTTTCCCCTCTGTCCCCTCAGCCAATTCCTTCCACAAGGAAGGGACTCTCAGAAAGGCTGAGAGACCAGCCCAAGGCCACATAGCCAATAAGGGCAGGGCAAGGAGAGTCGACTCCTGTTCCAGAACCTTCTGTTCTTTTCTCACCTGGCCAGGTTTTCTAAAACCTTTGAACTGCAGAGAGAAAGGATCTCAGGGTGTCCTACCTGTGTGGCTGGCTCAGAGTGGGGATGTATGTGTGTGGCCTGGTCCCCACCAGCCTCGGGGCCTCCCACGGCTGTCACGGCCAGGGAGGGTGAGCTCCAGCCTTGTCAGGAGCCAGTTGCTGTCCGTCGGCCTGTGCAGGGGCCGGGGCGCAGGGGAACGTCTCTGCTGGGCGGGACGGGTTGTCGGGGTGGAGGCATGGGCCTGAGAGGCGACAAAGCGCAGGAGGGCGGTCATTTCCTTGCCGGCATTTCCTCAGACTGAGAAAGCAGAGGGCAAATCTCGCTTCCAAACCAGTTAGTATCGAGCCGAGTAGCTGCAGGGAACGGGGCTTGGACGGGCTCCCCCCGAACTGTTCTCTCTGCGGGCAGGGGCTTGGTCGGGGCCACACCTGCTGTCTGGGTGGCGGGCGGTGGGTGGCGGGCAGCAGGTGGCGGGCGGCTGGACCCAGCGTGGACTCCTTCCCCGGCAGGTCCACAACGTGTCCTTCGCCTTCGAGCTGATGCTGGACGGAGGCCTCAAGAAGCCCAAGGCTCGCCCCGAAGGTAACGCCCCTGACGCTGGGCCCCCCGGGGAGGGACGCAGACCAGGTCTCTGGTGACCGGAAGGCTGGACGTGTCGCCTCCCGGACAGGCCCCGAGTGTCTGGCTTGCGGCCGGCTCTGCTGACCCCAGCTCCTTGATCTCCGCCTTCCGGGGACCAGGAGGACCTGGGCGGCAGAGCCGGCGAAGCTGGTTCCTCAGTAACCACCTGACTTTAAAGGACGTGGTCTCGGGGTTGGTGCCTCTCCACTCGGCCACTCGCGCTGGCAGTGCTGTTTACTGAAGTTTAGTGAGTGGTGGGTTTCAGACTCCCTGGTGCTCAGCGTGGGTCACCCTTGTACCCCCTAGTGGAGGTCCCCGACACTGCCCCAGGACGGTCCCTTTGCTGGGAGAGAGCCTTGTCCCTCGCTGAAGCTCCCGCAGGGGCCGGACGGCAGGGCAGGCGCTTTGGGAGCACAGAAGGACGCCTGGCCCACCTGGGTGGGGGCCGGAGCTCATGGGGTCACAGAACAGGATTCCTGTCCTTGGGCGCAGGTGTCCAGTGGTGGCCGTGGTTGGTGGGGGTCCAGTGGGCCTTGGGAGTGTTGTGTTTTGTTTCCTCAGTGAGGCTCTCAAAGCCTCGAAGTTCTCCAGGTCAGACCTGGGGGCTGCTGAGCGGGGGTGTCGGTGGCTGGGCCGCCACACTGCTCTCCCTGCGAACCCGCCACGAGGCCGCACGCCTCTGAGAGCTCCACTGCTGTGCCCTCGCCTGGGCCCCCTCTGGCCCGTGGCCCTGCCCTGGGCTGGCCCGTCTTGGGCTGGGGGCAGCCCTTACAGGAGGGTGAGTTCTCTCATCCCACCAGTTGTCTCTCTGTTTCCTTCTGCAGATGTGGTGAACTTGGACCTCAAATCCACCCTGAGGGTTCTTTACAACCTGTTTACCAAGTACAAGAACGTCGAGTGACGGGGCGGCAGGCGGCAGCGGGGACAGTTCCCAGCAAGAAAAGCGGAGTCTGTCCTTGCCTGCACCCTCCAGGGAGGCGCCCAGGCTTCTGGTCCAAACTGAGCGATCACCACCCCCACCCACCTTTTCGCGGTTAATGTTCTTTTTTTTTTGCCCCTTGTGGTTGTTCCAAAACTCCTTTCCACGTGATTTGCAGCGGCGAGGGCCTCGTCTTCGAGGCTGCGCCTCACCTCCTTCCACAGAGGCTGAGTCAGGTGTCATCTGCCTTGACCAAAAGATAAAAGGGAAAAAAGCCCAAATTCCAACCCCCAGCTGACCGAGAGCCACCTTGGTTCCATCCGATGGCGCAGTGAGCGGTCACAGGGTTCAGAAACGCACCGTCAGCTTTGCACGAGCGCCAGCTCCCCCGGGACGTGGGCCGCTCTGTTCTCAGAGTCTCCTGGGCTGGGCTGTCCTTGGCAGCAAGGCCTTTTCAACAGAGTTTTGCAGCTTTAAAAACTTCAGAGTCCCAGAAGCTTTAGATGTGATGTGAGTGTCCACCCCCCAGGCCTGTTCCGTCTTGGCCACTCAGTATGGTTTTAATTTGGCTTTTGCACGAAGAGCAAGACCAGGACAGCCCAACTGCCACGGTCCACGAGAGGAACCACTGGCCGAGGGGACTGGGCATGGAGTTGGCTCTCAGTGTGCTACTGAGACAGCTCGCGCCAGAACCGCCCGTCTCAGAGGCCCTGTCTGGGAGTGGATGCGTTTTTAGAAACTTTAAAAAAAAAAGAGGGGGCCGTGTTCGTTTGCTAGGGCTGCCGTGACAAAGTGCCGCCGAGTGGGGGCTCAAACAACGGACGTTTGTTTCTCACGATCCTGGAGGCTGGAAGTCAGAGATGCAGGTGTCGGCAGGGCTGGCTGCATCGGAGGCCTCTCTCCTGGGCTTGCAGACGGCCGCCTTCTCCCGGTGTCTGTGTCGTGATCTCCTTTTCTTACAGGGACACGGCCCTATTGGATTAGGGTCCACACGAATGACCTCATTTAAGCGTAATTAACTCTGTAAAGCTCTAGCTCCAAACACAGCCACATTCTGAGGGCCTGGGGGCCAGGACTTCAGCACGTGCATTGGGGCTGGGGGAGGACGGTTCAGCCCACAAGATATGAAGTGTGTATCTCACTCTTCCTGCATCCCCGATGGCACCTCCCTTTGCGCCACCCTGCAAAAGGAAACGCTGTTCTCATCTGTGGGCGGTGCACCCCTCCCTTCCCCGGGCTCTGGGGCAATGGGCATCCCGTCGGCTGCGTGTTCAGGGCTGGCTCCCAGGTCTCAGCGGGTTCTGCACCGTGGCACACCCCCGCCCCACAGCCCAGCCCCATGCCCACCCTGGGGGGCGCCCGCTGCAGAGGGGCCTCCTTCCTTGAGTTCTCAGCATCCTCTGCAGTGAGAAGGGCCTTTCTGATCTCCAGTGTTCACCTTCCTGCTGTAGATCAGAGCTCCCGAGTAAGTTGCTAATATTAAATCGAACACCAACTCTAAAATTTTAGAAAACAGTTCAACATTCTCCCCTAGTTCCGGGCGTTGCAGGCTGGGGACCGGTTTTGGATGGCCATTTTGGTGGAGGTGGTTTCCCAGCAGGGGAAAGAAAGAATTAAAACAGCATTATGGCTTCTCCTGCAGGACGCAGTGACATTAAAGAACCACATTGACAAGCTAGCTGGGGCTGGAACATTCTGTGCTGTCTTTGTTGTGTGCACAGAGTCATAGCAACCTGGAGCCGGAGGAGTTGAATCCACCCACCTTGTCCACAGGTGGGCTTGGCCAGGGCCTGCGTATCCCTGGGGGATCGGATTCGGAACAAACAGCCGGAGATTTTCAGCCAAAATAGGCAGTTCCGGCCCATTTTGTGCCATCAAGGGGAGGAGAAGATTCCTCTGGGAGGGGCTTCGGCTTCCCGGGGTGGTCCTGGCAGCCCCCACCTGGCAAACTCAAGTCCAGCCCCTTGCTGGCCTCACGCTCTTCTGTGTTTCAAGTAGAACAATGAGAAGAATAAGGTCTGCGGGGGACTCTACGCAGGCACTTTGCTTCACAACAGGGACTGTTCAAGGCTGTGATTCCAACAAAGGATGTGATCTCTTTTTTGGGGGAGAGGGGCTCTCGCTGTGTCGCCCAGGCTGGAGTGCAGAGGTGCGATCACAGCTCACTGCAGCCTCCAACTCCTGGCTCGAGTGATCCTCCCCGCCTCAGTCTCCCAAGTAGCTGGGGCTGCAGGTGCCCTGTTTGGTTGTGATTTTTTGTCCAAGTTCCTTTCCGGTTGGTTCAGAGGTGTGAGTGTGCCTCGTGCACACCTGCGAAGGGCCCTCTCGGGCCTGACGTGTCTCATTCTTCTCCCTCCACGATGGGTTCAAAGCCAGACTTGATGCATCGGGGCCAGTTCCGAGGCAGAATTCGGGATTAGCTCTGCTGGGTCAGCTCTGCTCTCTTCCCCTGTGATCAGTCCTCGGTTCCCATTGGCTCGGGGAGATGGTTGACGGGACGTGAGGCTCAGGGTGAGGTGCTCCCTACCCAAGCCCTGGGTTCTTAGTTCAGGGACGTTCTGGACCCTTCCTCCCCATCTGACACCACATTTTCAGTGAATTGTTCTTCTCTGAAGAGGGACCCTGGTCCATAGGAACTAAGGGAAGGCACGAGCATTGTGTCCATCCGTGAGGGGCAAAGCCCGACACCATGGCACAAGGAGATCTCCGGTCCACAAGGCCTGAGAGTACGGTCAGGCCAGGGCCACAAAGTATTTGCCATTTGTCCTTCTCTGTGTGACGTGTCTCTGGACCCACCCACCGGTTTGAGGGAGTCCGCTTGCAGCTTGGGTTCCCCTTTGACAGCCACTCAGTATTTTGCAAGCCCTGAGCCCGGAACCCCACTGTGCCCCAGGTCCTGATTGGATGTCACAAAGAGCGATTTCATTTTAAAGCGGCTGAACCCTTCCTCCTCCCGTTTTGGGTGCTGACATTTTACTGCCTTTGTAATTGTTTTAAGCAATGTTTACTTTGGATCTCTGGATACTAAATAAAAGCCCCTAAAACCCTGGCCATGCTGCCGGCCAGGCCCGCCTGCCGACTGCAGGAGTCAGCGCTGCTGGTGAGCATGCTGCCTGCGCGAGCGTGCGTGTCCTAAGCAAGAGGTGTGGTCGGGAGCTGCTGTGTGGTGTTGCAATGTGCTATTATTTATTCCAATAAAGAACTCGTGAGCACGGGGCTGTCCTCTGTCTTTGTTTGCCTGCTATTATCTTTTGTGGTCGTTGGCGGTGCCAGCTCAGGGCTAGGTGCTGGGGCCGTGGGAGTCCACGCAGCCGGGCTGCCTGTGAGCTTCCAGTTGCACAGGGAAGGGGCTGAGGCCGAGGCTGGGGGTGCCCAGGTGGGACCACGGGGAAAAGAGGGCGGCAGAGCCACCACTGCAGATGAGTCACAAGGAACAGATCAGGGCGAGTCTTGCTAGGGGCACAGGCCAGAAAAAGTGCCCCTGCAGGGCGGTGGTCTCCTCCTTGCTCTTTGGAAGGGATGCACAGTCGCGAAGCCCTGCACGCAGACTGGCAAGGCCACTCTCGACTCTGTGGGGTAGGGGCCCTGTGTGACCAGCGTGGTGGCCCAGCCTTTCTCTGTTCCATGCTGGCCCTGCCGTAAAGTCTCCTGGGCAGAAGTTACGTGATGCTTTGGTGCGTGGAACTTTAGGAAATGGTCTTACAACTAGACTATTCCAGGGTGGCCAGCCTGGAGAGAAGGCAATAGTGCTGATTTTTAAACGAACTAAAAATCATAAACTGGCTGGAAAGAACCTGGGCTTTGGAGAAGCGCCCCAGTTTGGATCCAGCTCTGTCACTGTGACTGCTGGTGAGCTAATTAGCCTGAACCTTCCAGCTCCGGGTTCTAAGGGATGAATTCAACCCCCCTCCTTCAAAATCCACCATCCTCAACCGGGGTGATTCTGCCCCTCCGGTGTCTGGCGCTGTGTGTAGACAACTGCGGTTGTCCCAGCTGGGGGCAGGTGCTCCTGGCACCTGGCGTGTGGAGGCCCAGGCTGCTGCGCAATGTCCTGCCAAGCACGGGGCAGACCCTCCCCACGGCAAAGAGTCATCTGGCCCCTAATGTCCACTGAGCCCTGCTGTGGCCTGCCAGGTCCGTGAGCCAGCCTGTCTCGACCTGTGCTTTGATTGGCCGGGACTCACCTGTTGTGTCGATGAAGATGAAACATTGTCCCCTGACGTGTCCGTTCTTCGAGGCCAGCAGTGGTGCATAAGCTCCCAGGGATCTTCTCCTCGGTCCTGTTCAGTGGCCAGCCCTTCATCAAGGGTCTGGTTCGTCCAAGCCCGGGGCAAGCGGAGGACCTGGAGGAGATGTGGAAGCCACGCTGAGAGAAGGAACAGGAACCGAGTGCTTCAGGTGGGCAGGTGGGGCCGTCCCAGGTGTGCTCCAATCCTTCCTCTTTTATAAAAGTTGTGTGAGTCCACTCTCCCAGGTGGGCGCCCTGGCATGAGCAGCATGCCCCCAGGAAAGGCCCAGTCCAGCTCCCCAGGTGTCTGTGTAGCAGGGGGGACGGGGGGGGCTCTCTGCTTGGGCCAGGGTCCCTCCTTTCCTTGTTGCCAGTCTCTGGGGAACTGTGTCATTCCGTGGCCATTTGCCATGGATCTGGCGGAACTGGCCATCTCACTTAACCCTTTCCCAGGTAGGAGCCACTGGTGACTGCAGGGACAGGGAACTTACTGTTCCCTCAGCGAGGAAGTGGTTGAGAAGCTCGGATTTGGTCAGGTTTACTGTAAGTGGAGACCCACTCTTTGGGGCTTTGATCAGGTTCGATAGATCGTGATCATCACTGCAAGGGTTAGACGGTACCCTGGGGAGTAAAGTCCCAGGGTGTGGGGATTCTCAGGAGCCCAACGCAGTAGGAACCTAGAACATTCATTAAGTATTTCCCGGGGCCCGCTGTGTGCCCTGCGCCGTGCTGGGCACTGGGGACATGTCGGGGAGTGAGGGCCTGGAGGGGGTGGGGGCGGGCAGACAGAGCAGGGAGCAAACAGGAAGTGCTGACAGGGCACGTCTGGGCAGAAGGCAGAACGGGCGGGCGTGTGTTGGATGGAGGTGGGCGGGAAGGCTCCTGAGGCCGAGGGGCGGGAGCCAAGCCCTCATACCCTTCCGCTCCCCAGCCCTCTTGGCCTTGGGTGGGCCGTGTGGCTACTTCTGTCGGC